ACCTCGTGCAGGGACGAGGCATTTCTGCCCCTGTGAGCCCTTGGTTACTCACAGCCGTTTACAAACTGCCTGAAAACATTGACTGGCTCTAAACTTCAGTCCTCCATCCACAAGAAGTGCCAAAAAAAGTTTGTCCACTCTTCAAATTATAGGATTGTGTGGTTCTGTGGTTTTCTGTGGTAGAAGCTCTGTGGTTTCTAAAGCTATTTTGTGCACCTCTAACACAGAGTAGCTGTTAGGCTTTGCTCAAATTGAATTTTCAAAGCCAGAATCCCAAGCTCTAGCAATTTCTTTTGCTATATTTAAATGAAACAACTACAATAAAGTCATGTAGCCACTGCTATGGCAACTAGCAGTGTTGGGGGGAAACAGAGAGAGGAAAATTCAACCCAAACCCCCCGTAATTTAACAGGGAGAAAGCTGTCCCCGTTGCTACCATCAGAAACCTACTTGGTGGCACCTACAAACCTTAAAATTCCTTCTTGTCCTGGAAGCAGCTGCTCTCAACTGGGTCTGCCACAGGCCCCACCTGCCCAGGACATGTCCTGGGTGCCACGAGTGGAGCAGTCAGAGCTCCTGAACTCTGGCCCTGCAGCAGCTCCTCTGCCCTGGCCCGGGATTCGGCACAAACACGATTCCCATGGATTTGGAGAACAGGGAATGGGTTTACAAGCCAAACACCAGTAACCTAAAGCACGTGGCCATGCTCAGCTCACAGGGCCTGGAGGTAACCAGCTCAGCTTATTGATTCCCAGAGACTCCTTAAAGCTCTGTATGGTTTGATCCCACAAATCCCATTCCCAGCTGAGACTGGGAACAGCCTCTGCCATAAACCAGCACCCTCCACTTGCAGCACACAGAGGGTGTAGGGATTCATCCTAAACTTCTTAGGCAGAAAATCTGTTTGATTTAATCTTTTGAGGTGTGACATTTCAGCCACAATTATTTGATCTTACAATATTTAGTGCAGACACAATAAAGGAGCCATAAGCACCTGCTTTATGGAATGAAGAGGGATTAACTTTCCCAAAGCCTCCTTTCCAAGCACAAGGAGAGCAGGAGCAATGAAGTTTTCATTTGCTCTCTCACCACCCTTAGCATTAGTTACCTGCTCATTTACCTGCTCCCATTATAATTCTTTTTTAGCAAATCAGAACTTTTCTGCCCCTTTTGGTCAGCATAAATTCCTGAACACGGAAACTGCAGGTGAACTTACCTGGTGCAGGTTTACAATTAGATAGGGTATTCCTTTAAATCACTTTTACCGTGGTTTCTTGCACTTCTTACAGCTCAGAGCATTCCTGGAATTCTGACATATCATTATGTCATCAGGAGATATTTGGAATATCACATTGGACGTGATCCTCTGAAATTTAATATATTTTAATATGTTAGTGAGAAGCTACTGAGCCTGAGGCTTAAACACAAAACAAAACACACAGAAAAACACCCTCAAATCCCAACAACCACTTTTTTTTACAGCCTGTGCATGATGGCAGCGTAAATGGAGTTTGATATCTTAATGATTTTATATTATATTGCAAAATAAGGGATATAGGAAGCCTGGGTGTCCTTCCTGTGGGTGCAAGGGTTGGGCAGAGAGCACAGGGCTTTGTCATTCTGAAAACTGTGATCAAGGACATTTATGGCAAGTTAAACAGCAGGAATATATGATGTTTGCTGTTGCAGAGTGTGACGAGATCTCATCAATAAGGAAGGCTCCAGCAACTGCAAGAGACGCTGCATCAGCACCAATAAAAAGTCTTAATTGTTGTCATTACATTAAAAAAAAAGTCAACCAGACAGGAGGGAAAAGGTACTTGGAGTGACTGCACTGATACTCACCTACAGCAGACGGGGATTCAGCAATTCCCGAGATAAACCTGGTGGCAATTCCAGCACAGCTCCAGGAGCTCCGAGTTCCACCAGGGGAGTTGGGCTTGGGGTGTGTTCAGGAACACTCAGCAAATGGTGCAGTTGTGTTTAACAGCTGGGCTCGGAGCTTGGAGAGCCTTTAGGGTCAAGTTTCCACTTGTAAATGCTTTTCCTGAGCAGGATGGAGACACATCCCTTCCCAGGGAACAGGGTACAGGGGGTCCTTTAGGATTAAGCACGGACAAGGAAGATTAGGGAAGTATTTGGGAAAGCCTGAGGATGAGAACACTGCGCAAGTCAGACCCCAAAAATCTGAGTGGGAGCAAAACATGGGCCATGATTTCATAAGAGATGATCTAATTGTAAACCTGTGCCAGGTAAGTTCACCTGCAGTTTCCGTGTTCAGGAATTTGTGCTCACCAAAAAGGGGCAGAAAAGTTCTGATTTGCTAAAAAAGAATTATAATGGGAGCAGGTAAATGAGCAGGTAACTAATGCTAAGGGTGGTGAGAGAGCAAATGAAAACTTCATTGCTCCTGCTCTCCTTGTGCTTGGAAAGGAGGTTTTGGGGAAGTTAATCCCTCTTCATTCTATTTTATAAGGACGGGAGGAATTGGGTTGGGAGTTGTGCCCGTGTGTGACACAATGCAGCCAAATCCTGGCTCCAGAATGTCAACACTCCAAAAATATTGCTGGAGACCAACCTGCCTTGGCAACCTGCTGGAACCAGCCCAGCTGGTGCTCACCCTGCTCGACGTGCAGGAGCAGAGCCAGCAAACAGTGGGAGCACAGTGAGTCAAAGGGAATAACGTGGAAGGGTCCGATAGTGAGGTGTGTTTTTCCAGGCAGCAGAAGGGTTTGTCCATGGTGATCTCTCCAACCCCTCCCAGTGTACATTTTCTGGATGTTCAGCGTTGCCTCACACAAATTGTTTTGGGAAGGGTGCGGCGCCGGGTTTTGTGACTGCGCTGCTCCAACGCGGCCAGGACAGGGGAGAGAGGGAAGGACAGGAGGGAAAACAGCACGAAAAAGATCCCAGCACAGAGAATCCAGTGGTTGCTCAAAGGAAGATTCATGAATTTGACACAAAAACTTGTGAAATTGTGGATTAAAAAAAAAAAAAGTAAAGAACGATCGCCAAAGTCTCAGAGCTCCAAAAAGTAACTTTTCATTTATTATATTAAACAATAACAATTCTCTTATTATATTAAACAATAAACACATGAGATGGGTTAAAATTAAAATACCTTTCAATTTGTTATGATATTTGAAAGATAAATATAGCTACAACAATGTACATATTTGGAGATATTAGTCAAATTTAGGTCAACATTGCAGCTTTCACTTTGTGTTTCCACCTTTTTTAGGTCAGACTGGAGAATATTAAAAGGGACACCAGAAGAGGACTGTAATTGTAACAGCAGGAGGAACCACAGTCACTGTGAGTTTTCCTTTAGAAGTTAAACTTAAAGGGGAAGGCAGAAGTTGGAAAAATGAAAATTCAATTTTATAACAAATTAGCCTTTATTTATAAAACTTTCAAGTAAAAAGAGCAGTATATCAACTGATCAAACAGGTGTGTCAATGAATAACAGTTAACATATTTACTTTAAAAATAAATCTGTGATTCCACCACACTCCAAGCAAAATTCCTTTCTAAGAAAAGATGGGTGTTGTGAAGTCTAAAGAGATGCAATGGTTGACACACACCAAAAACTTGGCTGTTCCACTAGTGTAGGAACATAATTGAATTAGATCATTAATAGCACAGATCAATTCACTTCAACAGAGTTCCAGCTCTAAACAAGGATTAAACAGAAATGAAATTCCTGAGAGGGAGGAAAAAATGCAGAAGAAAGGAGAAATCAAACTCTTACACGAGGGAAAGCAACAACTCTACTTGGACCAAAACTCCTTGGGCCACAGTTCTACAGAATAAATATTCTTCTCAATGGAGAAACACTAAAGAAGAAATAGTAACCCCAAAAGGATTATAAGAAGGAATCCAAGAAAAGTGCATTATCGTTGAGCATAAGATGACAAAATAATTTCTACAAAATTTCTGCCACCAGATTTCACAGAGAGGAATTAAAAATAAAATAAAATTTTTTTAAAAAAAGGGTTACACAGACACAGCTTGGAATTTCCTACACTTTGAGGGCACAGTACATGGGACAAAACCCAGGAAGGACTGACAGCCCTCACAGAGGTTCCACGAGGAAAAATGTGCCTACATAAAAATACTTCATCCAGCACTACTGTGGAAGGAGGACTTTGATGAGCATCTGGGTTTATTGCAGGATGACTGGGAGGTTTTACAATGAGACAACTGGAGGGAAACCACTGGAGGCCAAAGTGAGCACAGGGGGCTGGGAGGGCTGGGTGGTTACTCAGGGCCTGTGTCCCACGTGCATGTGCAGGCCCAACGTGGGTAATTGTCTGTCTGTCCTGTTCAACTGTTGTGCCTCAGTGTTCTGTGCAATCCAGGCCTTTCCATGAGTCATCCCAGTGATGATATTCCCTATAAAACACACGTGTGCCACCATAAAACCTGCTGAACTCCTGGTGATTGCTCAAGGTACCACAGAGTCTAATTCCCTTTAGTTAGAAAGTTAGAATCACCTCCACTCTTTCCCCAAAGCCAAGAATGCAATGGGTAATTCTTCCTGAAGTGGAAATGGAGGAAAAACAGAGCTGGAATTCAGATGACAATTATGTGCAACCAACTGAACTGGAATGAAGCAAGAAAAACATGTTTTTCACCTCTGCCTGTGACTGTCTGGGGGATGTGTGTGTATGGGAACAGCTCCTTAAAATAGTTTTTTTAAAAGGAAAAAAAAAAAGGAAAGAGAGAAGTGAAACTACAAGCAAATGGAGGAGAAAACTCACTGCCTCAGCCCAGAGAAAAAAGAAAAGATGACATGAGCATCACATGCGAGATCAGCAGTTGAGCCCAGATTCCAAAAGACACTTTAAAAACTCCAAAGAATGTGAAATCACATCCAGTGCAGATGATTCCTACTTTCTGCCAGGTTTCTCCTACACTTGGCACAGCTAATAAACACAGTTTTTCATGCCAATGAAAGAAATATCAAAACAAATTGACCAGAAATAATTTCTCCTGTGTTTTTTTTTTTCCTTTCTTTCTTTCACCAGAACTTTGAAATTCTCAGAGCCATGAGCTAATCTGTGTTTCTGTACAAATTCCATTTCTGTACCCATCTCTGGTTACAGAATCCACACACACACACAGCTTCAATATGTAGAATATATCTGCATATTCCACATATTCATTGTATATACACAGTTTATGTACAGCACAAAGAACTATACCCTGGACAGAGCATGTGGACATGTGGAGTATATACACACACTATTATTACATTATACAATACACTATATATATATATATACACATAGACACAGATAATATGGATCTCACTGTACACTGTATATGCACTGGGGATACTCACATTTGCCAGCTCTTGCATTGTACATATTTTCTCTGCTCAAATAGCAACAGGCCTGTTTGTGCTTTAAATTTCACTGTTCTGGAGGAAGAAGAGCAATGTCTTGCACTAAAGTTTTGCCTTAAAGAACAAGTGCAGGTATTGTACAAACACTGAGTTACAGCAGAGGGAAACACCGTGGGGAATCTTCATTTTTATGTGGAAAATGTATGAAATACCAAGGGGAGAAATCACAGCAAAGTTTTCTTCTACTGCAGTGCCAACATTTTGAATCAAGAGTGTTTCAGTAAACTTAATGTTCCTAAATCTAATACACTGTGCATAGAGAACATGTTCTGTCCTGGTTCATTGATCTGCAGTTACTGTCCAAGCAAATATGAGGAAGAGTCAATAAGGAAACAGGAAAATGAGCTCTAACACTACATGGAATGCTGGATTAATTCACATTTCTGCCTTCCTGCTGAACATCTTGAAAACACCAACTCATTGCCTTAGAAGAATTATAAATCACAGTATTTTAGAGCCCTGACAAAGCAGCAGGAAATCTTGTTATGGTGCATAACTCTGAGAATTAATCAAGCTATTAAGTCATCCACCCTGTCCCACTGGAGTGACACCATCCCAGCAGAGCTCCAGGAGTGGGTTTCCTTTCTCAAAGGGCACCACACACGTGAAGGGGGTTTTACTGTAGCAAAAGAGACCCCACAAGGACTCAGGCCCAAGTGAGAAGGAGAATCTTACACATGGATAGTTTGTTTAACTTCCCTGGGAATCCTGCAGCCACTTGCTTTTGAAAATTGCTCTTTTTATCTCATGTTAGTTACAAGCAGACCCAAGTTTGCTCTCAGAGACTTCAAGTCCTGCACACCAACAGAAAAGAGAATTTTTCAACATTTTAGTATGTTTGATCATTTAATCCTACAGATTTTAGAGAAAAATTACCACAATGGGAAGGGATTTCAAATCAGATTCTGTAAAATTAGAAGTGCATCCCAAAGGGGTCATTAAAGGAGAGTATTAAAGATGATTACATGGTTGGTTTTGATATTAGAAATACATCTTCTCCCTTTTTAAGGGGAATTAAAGATTCACATTATTTGTAGTACCATTAGCACAGGAGACACACAGCAAAGAGGGAATTGTGACTCCTAAAAACAACACCCCAAACGTGGCTGGATGTGTGTGTTTGCACACTCACCCACCACCCCAAAGCCTGAGACCACAAATGGCACATCTTGGGCTGCATTTCAGAGCTGAAAACTACCAAGATGCTTAAAATGACCCAATCTGATTCTTATCTCTGCATCAGGAAAGCATCCAGAATAAGGCAATCACAGCACAGCAGGGAGAGGTTGTTTGCATCCACTGAACAGGCACTATTGTTGTAATATGAAAATAAAGGTAACTGAAGCAAGGACATAAAAACCAGAAATGCATTAAAGGTGATGAAGGAATACCACATTAAAAAAAACAAACCAAAAAACTGAGAAAATGTTGTAAGATAAGGGCTGCATCACTAAAACCCCAGAATGTTAAGCTTTGTATTCCCACAGGGCAGGAAATAAGACTGAGGATGTGTAAAAATGTTGTGGTAGGTTCCCTACTCTATGAGACAGAAAAGTCCAAGGCAAAGACAACTGTAGTTTTAGAATTCCTGTAATCAGAAAAGGCATTTTTAGTAAGTAAAGAATTCACAGCCTTATTTTCTGTATGACATGCCAGACACATGCTGTGCTGCCCTTCCCAGGTGGGAGCAGTCAGTGCACAGAAAACCTGCCCCTACCTGCTCTGGGTGCTGCAAACTGGATTTCAGAGCCAACCCAGAGCACCAGTGCTGCCAGAACTTATGTGTGAATATGTATTTGGCAAATAAAAACTGATTCAACTTGGCCTTATTTCAGCTAACTCAGGTTTGATCTGTAACCCCATAGGACTGGTGGAATTAAAGAAGCAGAGGTGGGGACACAGCTCGGGCTGTTGTGCTGGCATTGGAGCAAATGAGGGTACAGTGGGTTGTAGGGATGGACACTCCTCAAACTTGGCCATTTTTCCATTGCTTGATTTCCTGATTTCACATGAAAGCAGCACCCAAACGTGTATCACCACCCTTTGCTTATGACACAGCAAAATTTTACTTCATAATTGAACTGCCAAATGATTTATCCAATTTACTACAGCTGAACGAGCTCCCTCTTTCACCACGTCACATACAATTATTAAAACCCAATGCAAACAAATGTTTAAATTAGAACTATTCATTCATAAAGTCTTCAAGTCTGTACTCTTTTACACAGTTCACTGTTTGTATCCATCATATATAAACTGCTAGATTCTTTTGTAAAAGTCACATCTTCTGGATTAAAAGGGACCATCTAATAATGAATTTATGCTTTGACACAGATGATGCAGGTGACAAACTGATTAGGCTACCATGAATTATTAAATAAACGTAACAAGTGAAAGCTAATTCTATAAATATTCTCTTTTTTATGACATTTTCTGCAGCCTCCAAACCCCCAATGGAATTCAGGTTATAAAAAGCCAGGTTCACACGTTGCAGTTTCCTACGTGCAACATTTGTCTTCCAGATAAAAGAAAACTTTCGGTATCTCAGGATTATACGTTAAATTTCTTACAAGCAATAAATTTTTATCTAGAACATATAATACAGCTTATTACAGTGTTTCCTGCAGATTATGCACTTGAGAGAAGCCACACAGAGCCCGGGCGGACGCCCCCAGCCAGGTCTTGTTTAAATCTGAAGGTGACTAAAATTATTTTCACAACAGAAACCAAGGGTTTAGTATTTTTACCAAAAGCCATTTTCCAAGGTTTCTCTTGGACAGGGTGGAGCCCAAGCCCCTCTCTTTTAGGAGTTTGGCATGTCAGCCTTACTGAGGGCAATGGCCAACTCGAGGTCTTCTTGTTCTTGTCTCCGCAACCGGGCCAGTCTTTCTTGCTCTGCTTTCTCACTCTCCCTCTTGGCCCAGGCCAGCTGCTGCTCCTCATTTCCAAACTAAAAAAAAAAAAAAAGGAAAATGGAAAAGAAATTAATAAATTTGCCAACCAGCCAGAAGAAATTATGTGAAAAAACACAATGAAGCTGACTCGTTAAATACACGGGTCGAGCACACCAAGCTGTCTCAGGGCAGTTCTTCTGGATTAAGGTAAAAATCCACTCACTAATTTCCTCACTTTAATTTATTTCCTTAATTTTCTTCTGCCTTCACTTCCTCCTTTAATTTATTTCCTTAATTTCTTCTGCTTTCACTTCCTCCTTTAATTTATTTCCTTAATTTCTTCCTCCTCCCAGCAGGAAGCTAAGCCATGTGGGCTGCACATCCCTGTATCCACGGCTCAGGTGGGTCTGAAAACAGCCACTGGAGCCAAAGAAAAACTCCACAGACACACACAAAAAAAAGCAAAGTTAGTGGCTTGGGAGCACAGCAACTACAGCCATTTTTAAGGATAGTAAATAGCTGGTGAAACCAAGAGTTGTTCACTCCTGTGCAACTCCACTGCAGAGTTTTATTGTGGTGGTTCCTGCTGAGGGTGAGGGGTCTGAGCAGTGATTTTGACATGTGGGAAGTTTCATGCCCAAAGCAAAAGTTACAGAAAGTGCCTCTGTTACTGTTCATAAATTACACACAGAGTTTTTCCAGTAAGAAATATTGTGGGAGAATCCAATTTCCTTCAGCAGAGAACACTAAGGAAATATCCCACATTATAACATTCAGCTCCTAAGCCTGTTTGGGCTCCCCAAAACACATTTAAATACAGTGCAGCCAAACTAGTCCAAAATTATATTCCAGTATTTACCACCGAAAGATGCAAAAGTTTGAATCTTTCTGCACAAAATCTTCAGCTATTTTATTGACACCATACCAATTTTAAGCTCAAATATAATCTGCTCCTGTTTAATTTTAGCAGTTGCTGAGGAGGCCGATGGGAACAGCTGCATGCAAATGTCTGCATTAGAGCCACTTCTAAAATCTGCTTTGTGTTGGCTTTTTTTTTTTGTGCAGGAAAACATATTATTTAGGGTTTTTTTTTTGTGAGGAGACAAATTTCAGCTGGATGTATAGTGCAAAAATTCCCTGTGGGCCTGAGCACAGCCCACGGTGCCACCAGGAGCTGGCACAGCCACACCTAAAATATTGAACTGAGTATTAAAAATGCAACTTTCAGTGCTAGACCTCGTTTAGCTGCATCTACACAATGTGATGGCCCCAGCCCTGCCTCTTCCACGCTGCACTGTATCCGTAATGTTTATTTTTTTAATGTATTTTTTAGGTATTTTTAAATAAATCCACCTATTTGAATTTCTTTCAACCCAAGTCCAATTCTCATTTAGTCATATTATGCTCGTCATTCCTCATTTTATTTCTCTCAAGATGGTTTTTCAGATGATTTGATGCAAAAAAAAATTACATTCCTTCATGTAACACCTCTGCTTTCATCACCAGCAAAATTTAGAGGAGGACCTTTGCATTCTATGTTAGTGAAATACAATAAAAGTGTCACACATTTTGACATTTTTCCTTTTAAAATGAAGAAAAACTACTATCATTTATCATTTAAATAACATCAGCTGACAGGTAAGATTGAAAAGCTCACTAAGATTTTAAATAGATGATTTTTTCAAGGTAAAGATTGAAAATGGAAGCAGGAATTCTGTGTTTATTCCAAGAATTCAGGCAGATCCTTAAGCTGGGATGGAGAATGAACAGTTACTATTTCCAGAAATACAAGAAGCTTTGGTCAAACCATCTGGGGTGTTTTTTTTAATGTTGAGAAACCAGTTTTATTCCTATAGCTTCCATCCTAGGATAAGGCTTCCAAAGAGAGTCCCAATTATAACTTGTTCATGGGACACAAGTTATATTTTTGTGGTTAAGAGTGCTGAGTAAAATAAAAAAAAAACAAAAAGAAAAAGAGGCAAGTGATTCATTGGAAACAAATCTGGATGGGCCTTATTACAAGTGGTTGGCATAAAGGAAAATTTTCAGGAGATAACTCAGTGAAACAAATATGGAACAGTTCATTGATGGCACTGATTGTCTGGAAAAAGGTAATTTACAGGTCATTTAATACAATAACAATTTTCTGTACATGTCCAGGTTTCAAAAATTCTATAAATCTGCATCACACAAGTGCAATTTCATCAAAAACCTCTTTTTTTTTTGCTTTTTCAGAAGCACAGTCAGACCCAAGGTACCAATGAGGAAACCAAATCTCAAAAACTGCACTGACTTGTGTTTACTGAATTTCCAGCTTGCATTGGGAGAAAAAGTTTAGTCCTGTGTTCTGTTTCTTGGAAATTTAAACACTTTCTGTTGGCAAAAAGGTGGCTTTTCTTGTTCTGTAAACTGCAGCTGGAACCTTGAAATACCCAAAATCTGAGCTACCAAAGGGCTCTGTTTTGTTCCAATGAATCGTATTTAATGCCAGCAACAAAGTTAAGAATGCAAGGAGAATACAGGTAAGCTCTGGGTGCAGGAATTTGCCAGTGTCTCATAAAAAATCAAATTTCATAGCGTGCTACTAAGATCTCGTGAAGGTTTTTATGTTCTATCTTTGCAACAGTCAAGGATTTCAATTAAAAATTGGGTTATTTGACTGTTCAGTCCTACATTGATTCATGTGTCAAAAAACCTTCCATAAGTAAAAGTGATTTTCATTTCCATCGTGAATAAAAAGCTTCCCAACCACGAGGCAAAGAGAAGCACAACATTCTCAGTGATTCCAAGGTAATTAGTACATTTAAAACATCATACAGAAGGATTAGGAATTGTCAAGTGGAGCAGCATAATTGTGTTATAGGCAAGGAAAAAAACCCATAAACTGAAGAGAACAGGGATCAAATCCCTCTCTTTTCAGCCAAATTCAGTCAATGCTTCTTTTTTTTTTGTTATAGCAGGGAAAAATCAACTCACAAAACTGATTTAAAAATTTATTTAATTTGATGAAATGCCACTGAACAGGAATTACCAAGTGGCTACTGCTCATTATCTCATTTTTCCTACTTCTTCCTTCTCTTCTAAGGTTAATCTCAGCTGCAAACCTGATGGCACAGCAAATTTGACCCTCTAGGATGGGGATCAGAGATTTTGGTTGATCATTTGATACAATCACTCAAGAGTAAACCACAATTTTAACTTAAGAAATGCAGTGTGCAAAGGAAGATGGCAAGAATTGGGCAACAGTCATTCCATTCCATCATTTGGCTTTCGTTGCAGGAAGAAAATTAAGATGTTGTTGGAAGAAATTTCAGATAAAGCAAGTTTTGCGTCTTATTTTTATTAAGAATGTCACCAGTTTTTATACAATCAGAATTTAACTGTGCAAATCCAACAGGCTGTACCAGCTGTGGTCAAACATACAGAAAACCTTGAACTTGGATGTTTCCAAAGAGATAAATTACAGCCCTGAGGCCCAACTAAAATCTGAACAAATGGCCTCAACGAACAATAGCAAATAGGAAAGTGATACACATTTAATATTAAATAATAAGTAGGAAAAAAAAACCAAACCAACAAACCAAACCCAAACATTAAAAAGAAACAACCTGAAAGATTCAGCTTAAAGCTCCCCACTTGTTGAACACTGACCTGTGTCCAGCAGAGCTGAGGGGCACATTAAGTTGGATGTTTTACTGTCAGAGAACAAAAACATGGGAAAGGAGGGAGAAGCCTGAGGCTGTGGATGGATGGAACAGGTTCCATCCACCCCTGGAAGCAACAAGAACCACACCACTACTGCATTTACAAGGGTTCCCAATTCCAGCACCAAAACCAAAGCCAGGCTTTAGGAACAATGAACAGGCACCTGGCTTTGCTTTCCAACCCTCTGGGACTGTCTTTGGGAGGGCAGGGGGGACCTTTCTATCTTGGTTCTACACAACAATTTTGGTTTTGTTTTTTTTTTTCTTTGTCTTTTCTAAAATATCAGCAACTGGAACAAAATTCAACAGTTAAATTTTCAATCTCTGTCTGGTCTGTGTCCCTCCACGACCACATTCCATCACATACAGCAAATGTTGCGACAGGATTGTCAGAACTTTTCCCACAAACAGTTACAAATGCTTTAGGGAAACTTTCCCTTTAAGGATTTGCTTCTCAGGATATGGTGAAATTGCTATAGAAACGTTCTCAGCAATTGCTTTTTGAGTCTTTACATCGTTGGCTCCCAAAAATCAGTTTACAAAATAGCCTCCATGCAACAAAAACAATACACAGGTTCTGCTACAGAGAATTTGAGAGTAAAGGCACATTGTGCTAAAATAATTTAAATGCAAGTAAACCCTTGAAAATTTAGTATGAAAAACTTCTCTTTTATTGAAAGAATGCCTTTTTATTACAGAAATATTAATACAAAAACAATGAGGACAGCATGAAGGTACTGAGAGACAGAAGCCAGGGAACAGTAGGTTTGCAGGTAAAACAAAAACTCAACAGATTTGCTGCAAGCAGAGCAGAAAGTGGTTTGCTGAGACAAGGAACTTAACTTACAGAGCTGAAGTCTGCAAACCCCAAGGAAGAGTCTTTAGAAGTTTTACTTGAAGAGGAGGGAGCAAATGGATCTTTTCCACTAAATGGGTCCCCAAACCCCTTTTTACTTTGAAACGGGTCACTGCTGTCAGCCCCAAATGGCTGGAATGGATCATGGGGCTTGGGAAAATCTGCAGGCCCAAGGTGGCTGACAGGAGTGCTTTTACCTGGAAAGTTTAGGAAAAAACAAAAACAAAAACAAAAGGAGAAAAAGAGAAGTTACTTACCATGGACAATGCAAAGCCCTGAAATAGGAAACTGTGCTGACACACTTTAAGCATCATCCATCCTCCCTGGGGTGAAAATTTAACCAAATATAATGGTATTCATTCCTCAGTGCAAATCATCTCAAACAGTTGTTTTATTTAAATGGGGTTTATTGTCTTATACATACCAAAATATTAATACCAGCAAGATTTTAAATTATAAAACCCAATATGAAGGCATTTAGTCAAAAGAATTTGACAAGTATGACTTTGATTTTCCAGGATTAGAGGCACTTCAAGTTTAAGTTTGGGATTATATAAAAGGTAAAATACGTAAAAATATGTATCACTAAAGATAGATCATGATAAATAGGATTAAATGGTAACTTAGCTGTGACTTTACAGAATGCCTGCATTCTGCTTTTTTTTCCCTGGGACTGGTTTATCCTTCTACCACCACTTTTGTACAAGGAAAAAGAGACTGATTAAGAAATCACCTCGTTCTGGGGTGCTTGCTCTGCAACCCACCTCTTGTAGGTGACTGCTTGTTCTTCTATTCCACCCCAATAACAAATGAAATCACAGCAATTTTTGTGTAATATAATAATATTTGTATATTTTCTTTGTTGCAATTAAAACTTCAGTGGTTAGTTTTTAATTCCCCTTGCCAAAAGTACTATTCTGTGAGGTCAGATAACCAAACAGATAAATGTATTTTTTTTTTCCTCTTAGAAAAAAAAAAAAAAGATTCTCCTGACAAGTACACACCCAATTTCCAGGGAAAATATTCCTTGGATGAACACTCTTGGTTATAATGTGTACTTGATAGAGGAAAATCTACAAACATTCTTAAAACAAACATTTACAACATTCTGTGTAACAACCTGAATCACAAACATTATTTGCATTGAAGTTATCATCTGTTTTGAAATGTTCAATTCTTTGAACCATAATTTAACAGGAATCTTATCATGTATTCCCATCAGGGTACACATACCAGGAAAGCACAAACCCCAAATTTCAGAGGGTGTACTTGGCATGGCTGAGCCACAGCCTGGGAGCTTTTAAGGTACTTTGGTAGTTGCTCATGAACTTCACAACATTTGCTCAGATCTGTGGAAACCCTCATTTATCAAAGAGAAAGAGAGCAGAAAACTTGGACTAAATTGATCACCTCTCCAGGAGCTGCCATTAAATCCCAGCTCAGCCTCTCCTACCCCAGGGCCAGCCTGAAGTCCCATCTTCCCTTGCACTCAGCTGGTCTCTATTCCCAAAAGTCAACAGGCACAGGGAGCTGAAGGAATCAGGTTTAGAGGAGCTGAAGGAACCAGGTGTAGAGGGAACTGAAGGGATCAGGTGTACAGGGAAGTGAAGGAATCAGGTGTAAAGGGAACTTGAGGGACCTGAGGAATCAGGTGTTCAGGGAGCTGAAGGGATCAGGCTTCCAGGGAACTGAAGGAATTGTGCAGGTTCTCAGCAGTGCAGTGTCAGGGTGAGACTCGGATGCAATACAGGCACTGAGCTGCAGGGGAGTGGGAAGCAAGGAAGTCCCCAGCTGAACAAGCACACAGAGACATGGAAAACAAGACACGTGCAGTAGGAGATAGAAGTGGATTTGTTTAGCCTTGAGAGTGTTCAAGGGGAACCTGATCACTGGAGGTAAGTCTTCCATCAGGAGAAAACCAAACGGATTCAGACTGGACCAAGAGAGATTCACATTAGACAATCCACACCATTTTGAAAATTCAAGGATCCTCCAGACTGACCAGGGAACTTATTGCATTTCATCACCACATCCATGAGGTTTGAGAAATGGTTTCTAGAAACCCCACTGGTTTAGTTGCCTCGAAGCTGGAGGATAAAGGAGACCTCTCAAAGCTCCCTCCAGTACAATTTGCCACAGTTCAGCACATGCTCCATCCTGGATCACAGATGTGACAGGGATATATGGATCCCCATGGTAGCAACCACATGGGGGACTCCTAAAGAGAGGCAGGTCAGGCCAGTGATTTGTCCTTTATGGAAGTAAGTGACCCAATATACAGGAAATTCCAGCAACATTTGCTCTCCTCACAAGCACAGACCCCCCTTCACCCCAACCAGCCTTTCCTACCAACAGAGCTCATGGGATGAGTTGGGTTGGGTTGGAAGGGACCTTAAAGCTCACCCAGTTCCAATTCCCTGCCATGGGTTCCACTAGACCAGGTTGCTCCAAGCCCTGTCCAACCTGACCTTGGAGAATTGCAAGAGAATTAAATAATCTGCATTTCTAATTGAAGGTCAAGGCAAAACAAAAGCCCTCTACATTTTCCCTCCTTCCTCTATTGCCAGTTACCAGCAAGAACATTCCCCCTCATATCCTCCACCCTGTATTGCCCCAAAGCAATTTGGAGTGACAGAGGCAAACCCAACCCCTTTTAAGCTGCCCTTTTCTTAGGTTAAACCTTCTGCTACCGAAACCACTTTGTGGAGTTGGTGACTGTTAACACAAACTCCGGGTTTGCAACATATTTGTTCAGCAAACTTGGCTTTTCTGGGTGGCCTGTTTAAGGTTCTTGCACAAAGGTCCTGGTGGTTTTGAACCTGCACAGAGCATCGGGGTTTCTTGTGCTTCACCTTCACAAAAGATCACAAAGAATCACTTTGCTGTAGAGGAAATGTCACCATGTCACAAGAGTTAGTGCTAATAATATGGACAATTTTCATTTTACACTCTGAGTGCTATTTTTTTCAGGTGTTAGAACAGAATAGGGTGATAATGTTGTTATTTTGAAGAAAAAGTGAAAGAGGGAAACCCTTATAACAACGGGGTTTCTTTTTTGCAGAGCAATTTTAAAGGCAGCACCAAAGCTGAACACATATATGTTTACAAACACCAATTATTCAGTGTCGTCTCACTCTGATCCACCCCAAGGGATTTATTAATAAGAACCTGGGTTACCCTCCCCTTTCTGACAGAGTCCAACTGCCAAATCCAAATCCCTCTTTCACCACCCTCTGTACGTTATTACAGTTTCTTTTATCCTTCCACGCTCTGCAAAAATGGTTTTGAGGCCTGGCAGGAGTTTGTTTGGTTCAGTTAGAAGTTCAAATTTACTCATTTATTAACCACAAATTAGTAATAACGACACCAGAATTATCTTTCTGACATCTTTGCTGGCTTACACCACGTGTAAGTCTCCCAGAGTAGTAAGTGTACTCTTAAGTACACAAAGATTTTTGCATTTCCATGTTTAGTGTGTCAAGACTCTGGGTACAGTATTTTTATAATGTAAAGCAAAAATACCCAAACCACGTAAAAAAGTCACCAGCTGAACTGAAGGACACTGGTAAAATTCTAACACTGCAAAATATACTCTCAGTAGTAACTAAGGCTGCATTAATCTTCCATTTGCTGGAAAATGTTGTATTTTTACACGACCCTGCTCACCATTTTAAGGCATGGCAGCACAAAAGTGCAGGCAAACAGTTGTAACCCTTATTTGATTTTTCTGCTAATAGTTTCAGGGGAAAAAAATTCAGAAAAAAAGCACAACAGGTCCTATTCTGAAACCACAGCAGTTTCAGCAGTTACCCAAGTGGTGCACCCAAACCACACCGAGGACTCACTTCAGCAAAAAGAGATGATGAACAAAATGGTTTTTACCACAGCAAGTGCTGTTACTGAGAGTGAACTCCACCCATACAAAGGGTTTATCTCATTTCTTACCCCACAGCAAACTCGAGTTTGGAGGGTTAAGATCTATATTTCAAGGCAAATAAAACCTCACTGGTCGGATGCAAATATAAATTTTGTCTTAGTGAATTACAAGATGTTGGTAACGAAGTGAAACATTTACAGTTTTCTCAATATTCTGTATTTCAGTGCAGGGCTTAACTTTCTGCTTAGAGGAGGATCTTGCTGAGTGATGAGAGGCAGAATTTTCCCTGTCTTTGAAGCCTGGATCGTTCCTGCTCCTGGGTTAACAGGGCAGAGCTGAGATGACACAACTTTAAACTTTCCAGGAAACTTTCTTAATTGAAAAATATGCTTTGAGAAGCCAGAGTTGTGCTGCAGAGGATGAGGAACAATAGTGTGAGTTAAGCCCACACCTGTGATTATACCTGAACATATAATCCCAGGGTTTCTACATCTGTCCCTCACACAGCAGGGCAAGTGTGACTCTGGATTTGGAGGCTGCAGAGTGGAAGGTCCCTCCCAGCACATCTTCCTCTTGGCACTTTATCAAATTTACATATCATTCCTAACTCACTCAGCATGTTTTCACCATCCTATTAAACTGTTCAGCTCCTTCATTGATGCAGAGTAAAACCTTCATAAAGTGAACTTTAGGAACTTACAGAAAAATGGATTGCTAGTTTTCAAACTGTGCCTGAAGGTTACTTACATTAAACCCAATTTTCTAGAGAACACTCAGCAGTATTTGGCTTCAACAGGGGCTATTTCTGTGCTGTATTTCCAACTCAACTGTTTGGTGATAACGTTCTCTGCACAAAATCACAACATGTGTTTTCAGTAACAGAAGGAAAGATTTTTCTTGTGCAAAACCCCCTCGAAACTATTTTTTGCTCAATATTTGCAAAGTTTGCACCTTGAGCTCGCCCGTAACCCCCAAAACCCTGCGCAGGAGAGAAATATTCTGAAATTCTACAAACTCCCCAAAAGGTGAGAAATCGTTATCACCTTCAGCCCAAGAATCTGTTCTGAAACAGCTTCTGAACGGGCTCCTTCAACCATCACTACTGAAATATCTTTGCTGTGAGAGATCAGCATAAACAAGAGAATCAAAGCGTGAATGGAATTTTTAGTTTGTGGCTGGGCAGGTGCTCCACCCATGAGTCATTTATCCTACACAACAAGGGATGCCTGGGCTCTAATGCAACTGTCAAGGTATGAAAAATAAAAAGCTTTTCCTGTCAGTCACAACTTTGAGGCTGATTTTCTCACTCTCGGCTGCAGA